AAATTTCGCTACGAGAAAGAGAACTAATTATTTGAATGGGTCTTCGAAAGTGCTACCCTCATCAAACTTAGCCTCACTATTCATAAATGGATTGAGCTTGGTGACGTTAGCTCTTAAGAGTGTTAAGCTAAACGTCACATTTCGTTAGCTTTTCGGGAGTAATGCTTTTAATTAACTGCAAAACAGATTTTTAAAGCATGACACAGAAAAGCAATCACTGAAAATTTATAATACATTAGATACTCGGATTCTAGAATTCAGACGTAATCTCAAAGAGGTTTCCAGAAGGTGATGCTGCAAGTGCTGTCCATGTTGCCTAAATACAGTAGTTTCAAAAGAGATGAATCCTCTTACTGTCAAATTTTAACATTACAAATGCAACGGATGAGGGAATGTTCAGCTTCTGGAGCAACCTCACTTTAATAATCGCTATAACGGGTATATAAAACAACTTAGATAAAATTTTTACAATAAATACTTTTCATTTAATAGCTGTCGTTGAACAGCCGATCCTAATTTGAGTTTACGACTACCAATGTTCAACTCCGTAACTTTGTAATTTTGAACCCAATCCGGAAGACAAGGGAACTCCTGGATCAAATATTGGGAGAAATTTGCCTTCGTGGAGGACTTTTTGATGGAACTAACCCGTATTTGCGTTGCATGAAGAGGAAGACGACAAGTACCTCCCAAGCTTTGCCTGACGGCAAAGGGACTCTAACCCATGATCCGTTTACCACTGAGGATATTTCACATTAGCACTGTGGTCGATGTAAGCCGGATGCGGATTTGTATCGATCAGCCATCGCTGGGATTCGAACCAGGTTCACCTCATTAGAAGGCGAAGTATCTATCTCCTGAGCCATCGCGGCTCATATCTTATTTGATTGAAAATCCTCCTTAAAACTAACAGCTAATTGCTTTAAAGAGTAAAAAAATATAACAAATTTGATGCAAATAATTCGATTAATATCGCATTAAATAATGTAGGATTTAATTTGTAGCAGAAAAAATTCAATTCTTACCCAAAACAAACACGCATATATTTCATGGAAAATAAATTAAGTCCCAAAATTAACGCAAGATTTGACTTCGGCGCCATTTGCTATAAAATGTTGCCAAGAAATGAAAAACAAATAAGACAGAAAAATAAGCTAGCAGCTGATAGTTCCGAATTATTAAAAGAGGAGCTCGACACAAAAGAACAGCAAGTTTTCATCTTTGAGCAATATATTTAAAACAGATGTGCCGTTTCCTGTTTAAATACTTCCCAATTTAGGATGCCAGAATTGGGTACTCGGATCATGCAATATAACGCACTTCGACTTTTTTTATTTGTGGTCTTTAATGCTCACGTCAACTACCCTGAGATAAAAAAAAATGCTTTGGAAGTTGTACCAATTACATTCAGTCACATTTACACAAAGCAGTGCTTAAAAATTTCGACAAAAGAGTGAGCAAATACTGCTGTTTAATATAAAAATCAACGTAAGAGACAAAAAATTCAAAATTGAGATTTTTATATATTGGCATCTCTATATGATAAGTTACATGCTGCAAAAACATTTTTTTTTTCAATTTTAATAAAATTATTCTGGTGAAATAAGTTTTATTTTATCAGTTTTCTGAAATCCTATTTAAGCGTTTATAGCAATAGAAATAAAAAAGTTGTAAAGCCACTTTTCTCAGAATCTATCGTGAAATACTTACGTTTTTTCAATTGCACTTTCCATAGTTCGATACACCGCGCCTAATCAATAAATCTTAACTGAATAAAAAAAAATTAACTAGCATTTTTAATTAAAAACCTGCGATTTTAGCCAAGATTATTTCTTGCGTGATTTTTGGGACAAACTGAATAAATTCAGACCTCATTTTAAATTTAAGAGACAACAGTCCTGAATGAATTAATTATCCTTACGCAGTTAAGTTACATTCATTCGAAAAGAGATAAATGTTTGTGTTTAAAGAAATACAATTTAAAAGACCGTAGCATAATATTAAAATTAATTTCTTTACTAGACTACGGCTATTAAATGCTAGTCGTAGGAGGAAACTTAATCTTTAAACAACAGAGAAACTTTGAAATTAAATTGTTCGGATAAATGGGACTGTTTTATTACATAGAAAGTGTAGCAAAATGGCAATAGTAAAAGACTGCAATAAAACGTGTCTGTAGAACAGGAACGATATCAACTAGTTAAAGGCAAAGGTCTTAACTACTCTGAGGAAGGTTCTTTTGGGATTTAGTTTGTCTAATGTTAAGATTTTATTGTCGAGGGCATTCATACACTATATTAGCACCTCAGCGGAGAGTGGAATTAAGTATGCGATAAGCTTATTTTTTCTAATAAATAATGGGAATTATGAACAATGCTTAAGTACACTGAAATCGTTTAACTGAAAGAAAAAAATATCCTTAAAGAATAGCAAAATTAATTAAATTTAGGGGAAATTATGATTGTGGTAAAAAAAATCTTATGAAAACATGGTGGACGGGATGCAAATTGGCTTAAATTTGGTGAGTCAAATTGGTTTGGAATGGATACAAAATCACCAAGAAAATGCTTAAGTACATCCTTTCATGACATTTTAAAAATTCTCCGAAGAAATCTTTTCAGTCTAACCTGCATTTGCGTCACATAGAAAGGAAAACCACAAGACCTCCAACGGTTAGCCCCGCCGCAAGAGAATTCTAACCCATTATCCATTAACCAATGATATTTTGCGAAAGCACTGTAGTCGATGTGAGTCGGGGGCAGAATTCGAATTTTCGTTACCTCGAGCTACCACTCGCCTGCTTGTGAGTGACGTCGAGGTAGCTCGCCTTCCTCTTACCCCTGGAGTCACCTCGACTCAAAATGTAAATACTGTCATAAATTCGACATAGGCATATTTATCTATTAATCAATGTCATACCTGCTTCATACAGAATATTCATGCGTTCAACTCAATTGTTATGAAATTATTAATTCTCTAGCTAAACTTTGTAGCAATCTTTTTCCCTACACATAGGCATCACTAAATTCACACAAGAAAAAAAGCTTACAGAAGCAATACGAGTCCCGATTATCCGAGTTTCTGCTTTAACCGAACTATAAAATATTTCAGGGATTTTTTTCTTTTTTGTACTAATTTATTTTTTTATTTTTAAACAACTTGATCAGATGAAATGATCGTTAATATCGTCAATAATGAAAATGAATCTTGCAAAAATAATGAATCTAGCGAAGAGACGATGAAAATCAACGTATAAAAATCTCTCATACAGATAGACTCAAAGCTACATTTTATAACCGTCGTTGAACAGCCGAACATAAATTCATGGATTTACGACTACTAATGTTCAACTCCGTAGCCTTGTAAGTTTGAACCCAATCCAGAAGACAAGAGAACTCCTTGATCAAGTAGTGGGAGAACTTTGCCTTCGCGGAGGATTTTTTGATGGAGCCAAAGCGCATTTGCATTACATTGAGAGGAAGACCACGAGAACCTCCAACGGTTAGCCTGACGGCAAGGGGACTCTAATCCATGATCCGTCTATCACTGAGGATATTTCACGCCAGCACTGTGGTCGGTGCAAGCTGGATGCGGAATTCGTATCGACTGGGATTCGAACGCGGTTCGCCTCAGCATTCCTGTTATCTCTAAATAAACATTGCTGCAGAAAAGCGCCTAAGTAATGTAAAACAAAAAACGATTAAGAAATTTTCACGTAAAAGATCTTTAATCTTCGTAAAGTATGCTCTTTAAGTGTTTTTAAGTAAGCTTTTTATTAATAATATGAATTGTGTGTGGTGCACTCTTATAAATTTTGTATTTGTTAAATATATTACATGTATGCCTACTCTTTTTCTTTCCTTTTTAATACTTTTCGCTTTAACCGAGTTTTTCGGTTATTCGAGTTGGTCGTGGTTGATATGAACTCGGATAATCGGGACTATACTGTACTTACCTTTCTGATGGTGATATTATTCTTAACGATATTTTTTTGAAAAAAATTACAAAAGCAATTTAACAGTGCTTTTCATTAATTATTTTATCAATAATAAAACTTATTGTTACAATTAAAACCCAGTTTACTTTGCTTGTTTGTTTTCAGAATTAAAAAAATATTAATTATTTTTTATTCTATCTCTAATGCATTCTTTTTACACTTAGTTAACACATGTGTGCCTCACCTTTTTTACATTGCCATTTTAAAAAAAAACTTTTTTATATTAAAGGAGGTATTTTAAATTCAGAACCAATTCCATATTGCACCACCTTTTTTACTTTTGATTAGAATAAATAGAATACGAAGCTTAATTTTTAAACAACGGGATAAATAAAATACTTATTTTGGGGCAAGAGACACTTAGTAACTTAATTATGTAGAATATTTAATTAAATTGATTTAAAAGGTGAATTTAACGGCTCAAGATTATTGTTTGTATTTTTCTTTTAATATTCAATTTCAGTTTTTTTTTCTTTTTTTTTTCTTTTTTTTAGCATATTGAATATATTTTTGAGTATGATTATAAATTATTTACAAATAATACCAATAAATTAAAAGATAAAAAGCACTAACAGTAGTTATTTTAAAAATATTGTGTTTTAACCCCATTCAAAGCAATAAAATTCTTTTGAGCAAACACTATAATGACTTTTTTCTTGAAACATCCGCACAGACTATCAAAACAAACCTTATAAATTAAAATGTTTAACATAATAAATAAAAATGCTCAACATGATTTTTTTAATGAAACTTTAAAACTATTGTAATGCTTCAAAATATTTTTTTTTTCTTCAAAATATTTTTTTTTTCAAGATCATAACTAAACTAAACTCAGGGGAGCGATAGCCCATGAAAAGTCAAGACCTACTGTGCCCACCTCAGTTTTCATGACTTTGAGCTCTGGGGTGCAAGAGCAGATGATCATACTGATATTTATATTCAAAATCACATTGTCAGATATATTGATATTGTTGCTTTGAGATATTGTAAATAAATATCTTACCTAATACTCTAACTTGACAATGAGATGATTGATGTTGGGTGCTTTGCCTTGGTAAGGAAGCAAACCTTAAAGGGTTGTTTGACACTGATTCCTGAGTGAACTTCATTGTTAAATTATGGAATGGAGTTCCTACAAGAGTTAAAAACAATAAGAACGAGAATTATCACCATGATTCTAATGATTACGTTAATATTCATGATTGCATTGCCTTTAAAAAAAGGCAAATAACACATAAAATTTTTTAGCAATTAAGTAAATTCAATTTTAAAAAAAGAAAGGAAGAAACAAAAATAAAGGAAACAAACCTTCCAAACAATAGATAGACAGATTTTTTAGTGTAGGAAACGCTAAAATTTCCAAAATCTTAAGCACACTTAAAATAAGATTTTACATTTAAAATAAGATTTTGCACCATTTAAAATGAGATTTACGAGATAGAGTAAAATAAATAATAAAAAAAAAGGAAAGGAAAAGAAAGGAAGAAACAAAATAAAAGAAACAAACCTTCCTAACAGTAGATAGAGAGATTTTTTAGAGTAGGAAACGAACATTTATATATGTTTACGAACGAATAAATGTTCGTAATAAATGTTATATATATGAACATTTATATTTATATGTTAATATTCATAATTGCATTGCTTTAAGAAAATGCAAATAACTGTGCTCATATAAAACATTTTACAATTGAGTAAAATTAGTTTTAAAAAAACTAAAGGAAAAGAAAAGGAAGAAACAAAAATAAAAGAAACAAACCTTCCAAACAATAGATAGAGAGATTTTTTAGTGTGGAAAAGCTAAAATTTCCCAAATCTTAAGCACATTTAAAATAATAATAATGACGTGTAAAAGTGTTTACATACACTTAACAAAGATTAATCAGATAGTAGCTATCCCTTTACAGCATGGAGGTCACAAAACCAAACCCCTTTATAAATTTACCAGAGAAAACATGCCGATATCATGATTTGAAAATGTTTGCAAAAATTAATTAGATTGTCTTAGGCCATTGCTTCAAACTATGATTTCTTTTTAGTACGTAAAAATCCGATTCTTCGGTAAAAGATTTTTCAAAGTGTAACACCTTCATTTATTTAACGCTATGTATATCACAAATTTAGCACTCATGAGCACTCTTGAACATTATAAAGATATGAAAACAGTACCATTATTATTTATCTAATAACTTATAATAGAAGAAAGCTAGGTTTTAGAAATGCCATGGAAGAAAAATAATTCTCACCATTTTTAACAGCATTCAGTTCTTTCATGTTTTCAGAATCATTATCTTCTGACTCTACATCAGATAGGTATATTTTCTTTTTTTCTAGTTCATGGATATCGTGATCTAAAAAATAAAATGAATTCTCATAAATGAGAAAATATTTTACAATATATATACATGTAACCGTCGTTGAACAGCATGCGTAATTCAGAGTAAATGACTAACCAATGTTCATCTCCGTAGCCTTGAAACTTTGAACATAATCCAGAAGACAACAGAACTTTTGGATCAAGCATAGAGAGATAGTTTTCCTCTGGAGAACTTTTTTTTAATGGAAACAGTCAGAATTTTTGTTAAATGGGGAGGAAAACCACGAAACCTTCCCATGGTCCTAAGGCCTACTGTGCCCATCTCAGTTTTCTTGACCTTGGGCTCTGGTGTGCAGGAGCAGATGTTCCTGTTAGGTGGTCAGCCGAACGCGGAACCCCCAGTGCTTAGTTCCCAAGCATGCTTGGTACTCATTTATCGACCCACGGAAGGTATGAAAGGTTGAGTCAACCTTGTCCAACTCGAGGTTCGAACCCAGGACCTGTGGCACGGGAGTGCGACGCGATACCACTCGGCAACCGGGAGTTGAAATATTAGCAAGAAATAAAGCAAACTTTGATATTGGAAAATTGCAATCCCTATAGAATGTTAATCATCATAGAATGTAATATGTAGACTGTAAAGTGTGCCTAGAAATGAAAGACAGAAAGATTCGATACAGCTAGCTGTCCAAAATGACATCACAGTGGCACATGGTTAACACTTTATCCTCATTGTGTTGAAACAATTAACAAACCATAAAGAATCATGCATCAGCTCATCGTTAAAAGAATTGTGAATCTGTCACGGAAAATTTTCGACGTTTTTTTGCTAAAACCAGTTTTATTTCAAAGCATTCTCCTCATACTAAACGAAGTCTCAACTTGTATGATGAGAATATTGAAACATTTGAAGAGGACCACAAACTCTCCTTCTCAGTGAATATTTCAATAAAATTTAATACAATGGTTAAAATGTTACACGTCAGAAGCAAAAAGAAACACCATATCTTCCAATATTTTAAATAATGTCGAGCACTAAAGTCTGGAATGTTACAGCATATCAAGAATATCCAACTTACAGACACCCTTAACAGCAAGAAGATCACCAGGGAAATAATACAACTCAGAATTTATTTACTTGAATTACTTTATTTGGAGAGAAATCCTTGAGACCTTTTTTCAATGCCATCTCAAGTCCCGTGCACAATGCACTTTTCCAAAACTAAACTTTTTCTTTGCATGAGTCGATTTTTCAAACCAGATTAAAATTTATAACTTGCCTCGTTTTGAGGCATACTGACCAGTAAGTCACCACTCTATATGGCAGATTTCAGTTTACAATTACAAATCTTTAAAACTCACAGTAAAGGCCAAAGTATAGAAGTCACTGTTTCAACACCAACTGGCGCACTGTACTTAAAATTTTAACCATTTTAATGCTTTGTATTTTGCATAAAACATGCTCCATTTGTAATTTCAAAAAATCAACAAGACTGCATAATTCTTTAAGTCGTAATTTAATAAAAAAAATCATTTAAAAATAATTGGCAAGCTAAAATATTTTTAGACAATTGAACAGGGTTTCACTATTTTTTTTTCTTTCGCCCAAAAGATATTTCTCAAATTTCATTGTAGTTTTATTTTCGCTATTTCATGCCATACCATGGGTTGATAGGTGGTTGAAGTATCTAGCAATTAAAAATGGAGTAGAAAATCTTTTATAAAGGTTTTTTTTAATACTTTATTTTAATGAAAAATATCAGGAAATAATGAAGAATATGTTTTTAATCAAAAATGGAAGAATAAAAATGGAAAATTTACAAAATTGGCAATACCTATTTCTCTGTAGCTGCCTTTGATGTCAGTGGTAATTACAAGTTCATTTTTTTGCTTTGTTTGCTCCAAAGCACTCTTATGAGGCTGAAACACTGTATGCTTTTTTCTGAAACTTAAAAGAAGAAAAAAAGATTATTATAAATAAACACGCATAAATGTACAATAAATAAAGTCTCAATAAAATACAGATTTATATAAATTTTATTGATATATTATTATTTATATATATATTGGTGAATATATAATAAATTTTTAGAATCCTCATCAAAAATAAAGTGAGTACACATAAGGGGTCACAAATTAATATTTAAGTGAAGAAAAAACTGGTATTTTATTTTATTTTATAGCCATCGTTGAACAGGCGACACAAATTTGAGTTTAGGACTACTAATGTTCAACTCCGTAGCCTTGTCATTTTGAACCCAATCCAGAAGACAAGGGAACTTATGGATCAAGTATTGGGAGAAATTCGCCCTCGTGGAGGGCTTTTTGATGGAACTAACCCGTATTTGCGTTACATGGAGAAGAAAACCACAAGAATCTCCCATGTTTAGCCTGATGGCAAGGGGACTCCAAATCATGATCTGTCTACCACTGAGGATATTTCACGTCAACACTGTGGTCTGTGCAACCGGTTGCAGAAAAAACTGGTATTGAGGTTTAACAAATAACTGCTGAGATTTATAACATAAAAACCAATGTAACTGTCTGATGAAACTTTGAGATGTTTCTAATACTCGCCTTTCAACTCCTCTCTATTTGCTGCAGTTTTGGTGTTTTTACTCCCGCTTTCAGTGTTGATTCGTTTTGATTTCGATAGCGTTTCTTTCTTCTTTTATTTTATTTCTTACTTCAATATTAATTTGAAAAATCTAAATTATGCATATTTTCTCAACTTCATTTTTGAACATATTAGTACTATAGTACTAATAAAAATTTTACTATTGCATTCGATATATCATTTAGTGCGATGGTACTAATAATGATTTCGTAGAGAATATCATTAATACAGAAGGAACTTAAACTTTGTATGAATAGAAATTAATGATAACGGAAAGATATTTCAAAAATAATCTTACTATTGCATTTGATATATTATTTAGTACGATAGTACTAATAAAGATTTTGCCGTGAATATCATTAATACAGAAGGAGCTTAAACTTAGTATGGATGGAAATTAATGATAAAGGAAAAATATTTTAAAAAGCATCTTACTATTCTTACTAATACAGAAGGAGCTTATATCTTACTAATACAGAAGGTATTAGTAAGGTAGAAGGTAATAGTAAGATGCTTACTAATACTGAAGGAGCTTGAATTTAGTATGGATGGAAATTAATGATAACGGAAAGATATTTCAAAAAGTATCTTACTATTGCATTTGATATATTATTTAGTAACATAGTACTAATAAAGATTTTGCAATGAATATCATTAATACAGAAGGAGCTTAAACTTAGTATGGATGGAAATTAATGATAAAGGAAAGATATTTCAAAAAGTATCTTACTATTCTTACTAATACAGAAGGAGCTTATATCTTACTAATATAGAAGGTATTAGTATGGTAGAAGGTAATAGTAAGATGCTTACTAATACGGATGGGATTAAATAATAACGGAAAGATATTTCAAAAAGTAACTTACTATTGCATTTGATATATTATTTAGTACAATAGAAGTAAAGATTTTTCAGCGAATATCATTAATACAGAAGGAGCTTAAACTTAGCATAGGTGGAAATTGATGATAAAGGAAAGATATTTCAAAAAGTATCTTACTAATACAGAAGGAGCTTATATCTTACTAATACAGAAGGTATTAGTATGGTAGAAGGTAATAGTAAGATGCTTACTAATACAGAAGGAGCTTGAATTTAGTATGGATGGAATTAAATGATAACGGAAAGATACGCATTTGATAAATTATTTAATACAATAGTAGTAATAAAGATTTTGCAGTGAATATCATTAATACTTAAGAAGTTTAAACTTAGTATAGGTGGAAATTGATGATAATATGGAAAGATAATTCTAAAAGAATCTTACTATTGCATTCGATGAGCTATTTCTTGAAAACCATTTTTCAAGGCAACATCTTCAGGTAGTAATCTTTCGTGGTTGTAGGAGGAAAGTGCCAGCTGACTACCAGGCAAGCTCAAGAAGTATGATGATAACTGAGAGAGTCCCAAGCGAGCAGAAAAATGAAGTAACGTCTCATTGCCATTTCCACCTAAACGTGAGAAAAAAAATTATCTCAAATTTTAGAATTTGTTTGATAAATTTTAATAAATAGTGAGGATGAAAATATTAATTAACGTTTAGACATCGATCCCAAGTTTAAATTTTTAAAAGGCTGTAATTCTAACGGAACATAAATACTCACGCTACAATGTAAAATGGAAAACTTTGCGGGAGACTGGTTGGAAAATAATTGCTTTAAAAAAAATTAAAAAAAATCGTATATTAAGTTAAAATTATTCGTGCAATTATATTTATGTTCTTTGTTTCTGAGGATGTTAAAAATACACGAAAGAAAAATTACTGTGTAACGATAATCAGTCACTGATCCTTTAAAACATCCAAAATATAAAATAAATAAAACATGATCTTCAAAAATTATAAAATTGACATAATACTGTGCAATAACGATCGAACATTTTCATAGTAATATGGAGTCTAGAAGCAAAAGAAATCTCTTTTTCAGGGATTATTTTTAAAAAAATATATATATCAAAGGCATAATCAGAAAATATCGTAAGCCCCATACCCAATAAACTGGAAATAAACCTACATGAAGTTAGTAACTTTTCAAGTTTCAGTTAAAATATTCACGAGATCGAGTAAGCAACAAATCTAAGAACTTACTGAATACTTCAGAAAAAGAGTATAAAGTAAATGACAATATAAACAGGAATGTTCTCAACAAAAAGTTTAAGAATATAAAACATAATACATTTATAAACGAGCAAAACCATTAATGCAAAATGTGCACTTTATTTATTAAAACTATATAAACAGATTTTGTTGAACATCGGTGAGTAAAAACAAACGAACCAGATTTCAATTACTTTATTCAGATCTGGCAACAACCAGGAAGTTCCGTTACGGAAGTGTGATTTGGGGAAACCAATACAATCCGAAATTTCTAATAGGATATTCTTATAAAGTACCTTTCAAATCTGGGCCCATCATGTTCCAACATTGTGGTAGTAGGAATGTCTTGAAAGCAGCGGTCACTCTATCGTCCAGACTGTCTAGTTCTCTGGGATCCAGGAGTCGAAATCTTTCCCCACATTCAGCCAAATTCTTCAAATGCTGAGGATGATCGACGCATTCCAAAAGGAACATGGCCAGCTGGTGGGCCGAATCTCCGACATATTTGAAGACGGCCGCTGCCACGCGCTCGATTTCACAACTCACATCAGATGATGCATACACGGATAATTCAACTTCCTCTGCTGTTGAATGACCTGTCCAAAAAAAAAGAAGAAGAAAAGATTAAAAATGAGATAAATCAGAAAAGCGAAGTAAAAACATAACACAGAATTTGTCAATTTTACATTGACTGGGTAAATCTTATGTTAAATATGAGAAATAGTATATGGTAAATGATTTCCCTCGTTATAACCTTTCAATCAAATAAGGCAGAAAAACTACGAGGCTTGTATAAACAGCATAATAATGCAGAAAATTTTATTTCATCATGAAATAATAAACATATATACACCCTTGTGCAAATTAATTGAAACAAACTCAATAAATTCAGAAAACTAAGAGAAAATGCTATTTTATTTAAATTTATACAAACTCAAAAATTTTTAGAACATAATATGATCTCCATGACACTTTATTAACATTTGGACACGATTCGACATGGATTCCACTATTTTTTTTACAGTCATTTATAATATTTGTGTCCTTGTACGACACATGAATTAACGCCGCGATTAGCTTCTCCATAGTTGTACAGTTCATATTTAATAGGCGATTCTTGCATATGGCCCAGAGATTCTCAATTGGGTTGATATCCGGAGAGTTCCCTGGCCATTCCAATGTCTCAATTTGATTCTCAGACATGAATTTCTTGACAATTTTGGACGTATGGCAAGGAGCTAAATCCTGTTGAAAAATCCCTGTTCCATCAGGGTATCGTTTCTTCAACTCTGGAACAACTTTTTTACCCAGAATAGTAATGTACTGCTCAGAACGCATCATACCGTCAATAGGCTGC